CCATACATTATATGGAATATGAACTGATGATCAAGAACTTGTGAGGAACTTGGCATCATTAGTAGCCCCCCTACATTACCTTCTTCTCTCTTCTCTGTTATGATGCCTTGATGCTTCAAGTTCAAGATCAGATGATGATTGACATGTTTCTGAGGCCTCTACTACTGCTACTACTCATTTTTTGATATATTGTTGTTTTATATGACTACTTTGGTTTATAGACTTTTTTGATTTCTTATATCATCTCGCGTACCTAAAGCACACTTTCTTGCATCTATTAGAACAAAGCGCGAAATAATGTCGTGGACACCAAACAGTGCAGCCCAATGCCCCGAGCATGATAAGCAGCCAACCTATGAGGAGCAAGCACTAAAGGACCAGCTTACTCAAGAGCAGTTTGATAACGAGTTAGAAAAAGATCTAGAAGTGATGCTTACTCAGGAGCAGTGTGACGAGGAGGAAGGGGGAGCAGAAGGAAGAGCAGGAGAGGCTGCTGAAGGCGAAGAAGAAGAGGATGATGATTATGATAACTCAGAAGAGGGATATGTAAGTCCTAAGGATCATTTCCCACGTGAAGCCAGAAGGAGGCCAACGGAGGAAGATTGGACAAGGATTTTGACCCGAACGAGGAGATAGGGAAAAAGCCTTAGCTTATAAATTTTGCTAAAGCTTTGGTTGTGTTACCTCTGCTAACACTTTGACCTGTCGTGTATACAAGTCGCTCCTAAAACTCAAAAAAGACGACATCGATGTCCGCGACATCTCGCTGGACAAGACGGAGTAGAGAAAAGGATAGCAGAGGCAACAGCCATAGAGACGGACATTGAGGCCTCTGCTCCACAACCTCAAGACACAACCATGACTACCAAGCCTAAGAGGAAATAAGGGGATAGAAAAGCAAATATATATCCAGATAAGGCATGCTATGTGATAACAGCGGTCGGGCCAGCAGGGGAGATCCTTGAGCCGAAGGAATTAAGAGGACGATTCCATAATGCGATCAGGGCCCTAGTAAGAGATAAATTGAACCCAGCAATCCCTAACTAGAAAGAGGTACCAGAGAAGAAAAAGGATGAACTATGAGATAGGCAGTTGAAGCTTAATTTTAGATTTCCAGAGGGTAAGCACGAACTGGTAAAAAAATGCTTTCAGGATGATGGGAGAGTCATTCCGACGTTGGAGGTCGAAGCTCAACAAGAAGTATATCCAAAAGGGGTTAACTCCCTTCAACGAGTTCAGCAAAATAACTCCTAGTCAATGGGAGGAGCTCGTGGCTCAGAAGACTTCACCGGAGGCATTGGAGCTCAGTGCCCGTAACACCGAGCGGGCGAAGAGGAACAAACACCACCATCATCTAGGCCCCGGTGGCTACTATGCCATGGAAGAGCAGTTTAGGAAGATGGACGAAGAGGCCACAGCTGCTGGGAATATCGATGTGACGAATTTAAAGATACGCTCAAGGAATTGGATATATGCGAGGAGTACAGAATTATCCGGTGGTAATCTTAAGTTTGATAAGCTAGAGACCCAAGAGGCAGTATCAAGGATACTAAAATATGCTGAAGACAAGGAGAAGGGCTCATTCAATCCTTTCAGAGAGAGGGACGAGCTTAGCCTTGGCTTGGCAAACAAGGAGCACACAGGCCGTACCAGGGGGCTAGGGAAAAGGACGACCTGGAAGCACAGATTCGAAGAGGATAGGCACATGTACAAGAAACATGGCAGAGACCGGGAGACTAATCTTGAGCTCTAAGTGAAGGCTCTAGTTGCGAAGGCGTTGGAGGAGCAAGGACTGTCTATGGAGCCACGGACATTAGTGATGCCGCTGGGAGAACTGGCATTAGTTGGCAGCCCTCCAAAAGTTCCTAACAGCCAAGGTTCCACTGCAGCCACAACCCCCATCAATTGCATATGGGAACCAACTAGTTACACCTTGGTGTTTCTCAGCGGCTGGCAGAACATTGTGATGGAGGTGGCAACGGGTATGGCACATCCTCCCGGTGGCTTACACCACAATAATAAGATACCGCCGAACTACACTAGGGTCGAGGTGCATACCGTGAAGCCTGAGTTCATGTAGTGGAGGATAGACTACGTAACTCCCGAGGGGCTGGTGTTACTCGGAGACGTAATAGGGCAGTTCATCCTCTGGCACAAACGGGACATTATATTGACTGCTTCTTCGCCGCCTCCCCCTCTCCCAAATTTGGAGCGAGTTGTTGAGGTCGGGGAGATATTTTCACCGTCTCGCGACCACCACATTCCTGAGATGCCACATTCTTCCCTGCCTCCTAGCGAGCATGTGCCTTCTCCAGCTCGTACCGAGCAAGTGCATGATGAGATGCCATAGTCTTCTCAACAAGCACAGCCGATGCATGAACAACGAGTGCCTCCTGAAGAAGGTGATGCACAAGAAGATGAGGACGTGCCTGAATGGGAACTTCAAAAGAAGCATCCAATCACCATAAGACCAGTTTATGTTCCGATGAAAGACGTCTCGTCGGTGCACAAGTGGTATTCCCATGGCCAGTTCAAGCCTGAGAACCAAGTTAAAAAAGTCACATCACGATGTTTTGAGGAGGTCGTCACTAGCAAACTCCACCAAACAGCAAAGCAATATCCAAATGTTGATGCCATTAAATGATCAAATGATTGCCCGAAAACATATGAAAGAGGCAAGCCCTTCCTACCAAACCGGGACATCCAGCGCCTACCACTTGGAATGAGAATGTTCTATGATTGGTACTTGCGTGTTCTCCCAACGAGCATAGACCTCATACAAGCATGCTTCCCCACCGGTATATTTAGAAGTCCAGCCGGGAAAATTGTCTTTGACTTCAATGACATGTAGACATGCTTTCACCTCGGAGCAATGGAGATGAATCTAATTCACACGTGGTGCCTGTAAGTCCTTGTCCTCCCGATATGATATGAATGTAATCTTTAAATTTTGTTGTAACTAACCCACACCGTGATTTGTAGAATGCAAGTGCACATTGTCAAACAAATGCCAAGTGTAAAAGCTGGGTATATAGACCCTCAAGCTATAGCACAGACAAATTTTAATTACCCTAAAAAGTGGCTACCAGATGCCAAAGAGCTAGCTGCTGGAAAGACTCTTCAGGAGAAAGAGCACATCCGTACAGCAAAACTAAGGGAAGAGTCCCTTAAGGTTGCAGCATACATTGCCCTGGCTTTTAAAATTCTCCAACAGCACTCTACTGTATGGCTACCATACAACTTCGAGTAAGTTCAACTTTATATTTAAAGCATTGTTCGATATATTTTATTCGATGCAAAAGAGCTTATCTAGTTCTATGATTAAATCCATGCAGCAACCACTGTATTTGTATAGGCGTCGATGTCAGATGGAGCATGGCATGGGTCTTTGATTCAATAGATAGGGACCTGGTGACATACAAAGACTTTATATCGATTCCCAAGACGTATACATATCGACAATCATCATTAGCTTATATGTTTGTATACATACTCGTAATGTTCACTTTTGGATACTAACAAGTTGTATTTGCTAAAATAATTCGAACAGGGCATTTAGGTTCTATGTCACTAAACATCACGGAAGGCATGATCCAACAAGGAAGAAAAAGCTGGCTATAAAAATACTATGTGCGGTAAGTGTAACTTACTTCTTCAGTACTCTATTACATGGCTGCCAAAAGCATTACTTAACATTTTCATATGCAAAACACACAGTGCCCCAAGCAAAAGCCTGGGAGTGTACATTGTGAATACTATATATGTTGTATGATGAGTAACACCGGTGTCTACAGGAGACACCCCTTAAGGGTAAGTTTGAACATTTTCACCCGTAGTATAAAAACTTTGTACATGGTATGAAATACTAAACCGAAACTTGTTCTCTTGTAGTGGAAAGAAGAGAAAGAAATAAAAAGAGACCCATACAAGGATGACCAACTCTTAGAGCTCATCGGCGACCTTTGTAACTTCATATTGGACCAGATTGTACACGTCAAAGGCACCTACCATGACCGAGAGTCTGACTTAGGTAGAAATCCTCAGTACGAACACCTTCGTGAGACTGGAAGGCTAGCTCTAGGACGTTGATAACAATGTGTATGGAATTTAACATTGATTCTACCTTGTGAATTATGTCTATTTAATGATGGATTGTATATATTCTCGTGAATTGGACTTGTAATTGTAGTTTATATAATAATCTTGTGCTTGTAGTTTATATAATACTCTTGAGCGAACGCAGTTCGGAACATTGGTCGCGGGGCGTTCGGCGGGATTATCTCGCTTTCCTCACTCACGTTGGCCGCGGGGCGTTCGGCAACGCGAACACTGGTCGCGGGGCGTTCGGCGGAACGTTGGTCGCGGGGCGTTCGGCAACGCGAACGCTGGTCGCGGAGCGTTCGGCGGAACGTTGGTCACGGGGTGTTCGGCAACTCAAACGCTGGATGGAATATGCGGAAACAAACAGTGTTCTGGTCGAAATTGAATTGTAAATTTGAATTTTTTTTACGGGAAAATGTACTGTAGGGGCGGTTCTAGACTGAACCGCCCCTATAAATAGGTATTATAGGGGGCGACTGGTACTACAGCCCAGCCGCCCCTACAAATCGATTAGTAGGGGCGGCTGGTGTTACTAGCCGCCGCTACTAATCGATTTGTAGGGGCGGTTTGAAAACCGCCCCTATAAATACATGATTTATAGAGACGGTTTGGTAGGAACAGCTTGTAAAATCGTCCTTACAAATGATCTTGAGCCGTCTCTACAAATGATATCTGTGTAGTAGTGCTTAAGAGATGGTTCCCGGAGGCCAGGCCGGATGGTTTTCTCCCATCTTGGACAGCGTTTTAATGATAAGCCGGAGAGTGCCATTCTGTTTTTAGAATTCACAAATGCCATCCTACATGAAATGGCGTCAAAGGTACCGTATATGTCAACCATCACGCATATGCAGTTACTAGATATAAGTATATATATAATATTTGGTGGTGATTATTAACAGGGTTTCATCGATAATGAGAAACTTGACTCTTTCTACGTACCATTGTACGGGCCGTCAGAGAAGGAGCTGAGGGCGATAATAGAAGCTGAGGGTTCAGTTTCAATCGATAAGATGGCTGTCCATGAATCTCCTGATCAGAATGACATTGTCGCGCCAAAGACAGGGGCGCATGCGCTGAGAGCTGTAATGGAGCCAATCATAGCGCAGCATTTCGGGCCATCTGTAGATGCTATGGACGAGTTCTTAAGGGTTGCGGAGAAGCTCGTCGAGATGCCGCCTCTAGATGCGTATCCAAGTAAATCCAGCGCTTTCGTTGCTGCGTCCCTAACGAGGAGGACATGATCGACCGCAACGTTTGTTTACAGTGAACAAGAGATGCAAAGTTGCGTCTATGTATGTTTGGCAAATCACAGGATTACATGCATGTATAAACTATAACAATGACATGTTTTGTGGAACAAATTTAAATTAAATCGTAGTGATATAATATCCGGTGGTGATCGACTTAGCTTACGTGCTCAAGTGATATGTTTGAATGTTTCCATGGAATTATTTAGCTTACGTACTCAAGTGAAATCCAAAGTTCTAGACAAAGCTCATGCAAAAGACATGCAAATATAATCTTAAGCATGCGATTTGTTAAGAAGTTTAGATTTCACTTGAGTGCATATGTTGATAATTACATGGAAAAAGAATGATTTTTTGTAGATGTTTCTTATTTTTAGAATACATTTTGGGCCTAAATAGCTTATTAACTGAAAAGTCAAATATATACTACTATGAGAAGAATTTTATTTACAAAACTATAAAGCCTATGATGCTAAATACAACCAAAATGGGTCATGTTTAGTTTTTAGCATTTATAATTATATTTTTAAAGACTTGTGGGTTCTTCATTTTATTAAAAAAACCAGTGTAAAAGCTTTGAATGTTTTCTTGGGGAGTATGACTTTCAGGTATTCTGAAACGATTTTCATTAAAAAATCATTTTTCTCGTGGATAATTTTTGTAAAATTCATTTACCTAGTGGATGATTTTAAAAAGTAGTTCCACTAGAAAACAACAATGTTATTTTCTGAAATTTAGTAGATACAAGGGATATTTAAAAAAAAATTATGAATATGTATTAAAAATAAATAAAAAAGACCGCTTCAGAATCTAGGGTTCAAAGCCATGATTTGATTAACCCTTATTTTTAACTGCTAGTGCTGGTAAAGCTACTCTCCATGCAGAGATCATTAACATCTAGGGACAAAGCTTGGGCCTCTTATCCAAATGTGTCATTTGTAACACCCTCGGTGTTACGCCCTAAACCAACTACTAAACCACCTCATGAGCATCATGTTTATGTGTTAGAACATGTAGGAAAGTGAAAATAGAATTTTGGTGGTACTAAAAATGTCGAACGAAGATTTAGTTATGAAAGGTTATAGTGCTTGTGTGTTATCGAGTAGGCTTATAAAACAATTTTTATTAAGCAAAAATGTTATAAAACATGTATGTGATATTTAGATAAAGTTTGATGTACAAACTTTGTAGATGACAATGCAACTTTTGTCTTAGAAAAATAATATTGCTAGCTAGTATTTCTAATAGCTTAGAAATAGAACTTGAAATCAAATCCAGCACAAGACTTAGAAAAATCCTTAAGTTTGAAAACAGTGTGACAAGACTATGTCGGTGAATTAATTTTGGAAAATTTAGCTAAGGTCAGTGTTATGTTTTTGTTCTGTATGGTAGTTTGATGTACCCTCTTTAGCATGGTTTAGGTGGTCGAGCCTCAATCAAATCAATTTAGTTTTGGCAAACACTTTAAAATCCGTGCACGAACATCATCTCGAGCTGGTTGGCCGGTTGGGCGCAGTCACCACGCTCGCGAGCACGATGTCACCATGTTTGGCCACCCATGCACACGCGCGCTGCCACGTGTTGGCCAGCCGAGGCCGTCCTCGGCCTGGCTGTGGCCTGGCTACGGCTTGGCCGCTGCTAGCTGCCGTGCTGCTGCCCCACCTCGTTGCCACGTTGCTAGCTGCCATGCCTGCTGCTGGCTGGCCGTGGGCCACTGGTCGCCTCTGGCAGCTGCCGTGCGGTGCTGCTGCTGCTGCCGCTGTGGCACCATGTTGTGTTGTTGTTGCTCGCCTCGTCACCGTGCGCAAGTGGGTTGGCTCCCTGCTGCCTTGCGCCGTCGCCTTGCTTTAATGGCGCTGTGGTCGCACATGCCACGCTCCCCAACTGCCTATGCACGCGCACGTTTTCTGGCTATGTTGTCTCGTAGCGAGCGCGCAGGTGTTGTCTCAGGTCTGGCCTACCGCTTGCCGCCAAGGCGAGGACGGCTAGAGCTCGGACCTACCCTCCTCCCTGTCGTCTCTGCCATCTGAGCCACGCCCACGAAATCCACCAGAGAGAGATCACCTCAACTCAATTCAACTCATCCGTGGCCTCGCCATTAAGCCACCTAGCCGCCCGACCCTATCCCGCCTTGAGTTGAGCCCGGCCAAGCCTCAATTTGGCCACTTCCCCGCCGTCGGGCCATTAAGTCTACGTTCGTCCGACGTGGGTGGCAATCCCCAACGAAGCCGTGAGAGGTCGATCCAGCTGCACCATTAGCTCCGCTTTGACTCCCTCTTCACCCTACGCTCATCAGCCAAACCGCTACCGCTACCCCAGCGCCGCTGACGTGGCTGTGTCCGCCGTGGTGCGCCACCGCACGACTCGGTCGCACGCGTCTAGCCCTCCTTCGCCATCCTCTACTCCAACTGTCACTTCGGCCGAGTCCACGGTAAGCTCCTGATGCTCACCCACTAGCTGGTTAGGTCTATAGCTGCCCTAGTTCACCAAAACGGTCGTGCCACCGTCGTGGATGGCCGCACGTCGCTGCAACCCTCACCAGTGAGCCCTGCCGCCCCTCATTGCCACCGAGCACAGTAGTTTAGGTCAAGGATGGCTATCGACCCGCTTGATGGGTCTGTGCTGGTCCCAGGTGGCCGACATAGCCACCCTATGCCACTGCTCGCTGCGTCGCCGTGCACAAAGTTGCCTAGGGGTGTGTGTAGGGAAATTAGGAAAAACTCAGGGGGTTAAATGAATTCGTCAGAGAGAGGAAGAAATAGTGTTAGGACTTAGGTGTAGTTAGAGAGAAGTCTGAGGGCTTATTTGCAAAAACGCCAGCGCGCACGGGCTCCCCCGCCGTGGGCCGTCTCGCACGTGGGCCGCGTCTGCGCGGGCCGCGTGTAGGCGGGCCGCGCGGTTGAATCTGTTTTTTTTCCTTTTTCTTAGGAATTAGTAATTGTTTTTTTATTTCAATTTCTGAGCTAGATTTGTATAATTGATATAAATTTGTGTAGGTGTCCAAAAATTGTGAAACAAATTTTGTTAGGTTCCTAAAATTGTGATCTATCTGATAGTATAGATGGATCATGCATATCTGTGTTGATACTAAGGGCTATTAAATCGTTTGAAAGTGCTTAATATTATTAGGATAATTATTGTAGGAATTTTTGTGGTAATTTTTATAGCCCTAATATAGCTTGTTTATTAGGGTAGCTACCTATCCATTAAACCTTTAATATGAATAAGAGCATAACATTGATTTAGGAAATTAAGCACTTGTTAGGGTGAGCTTGACACTTGATTTGATAGAGCTGATGGTTAGCTTAGTATCTTAGTCATTAGAGCTAGTTTGTTAGTATGGCATATGAGTTTGTATTTTAAAAGTTGTTGTTGCCTAAATACTAAATCGTTGCATCATCATCATCGCATGCATATAGAGAACGAGTCAACGGAGATTGTGACCACCGGCGAGCACGAGTTTGAGGAGATTGTCGAGGAGTACGAGGAGGAGATTCTCGTGCAGGATGAGGTCCTGGAGCCACCACTGACTGACGCAATCGACACCGCGCCTGCCCAAGGCAAGCCATGGTGCATAACCTCTATTTTTCATATCCACCATGTATATATATATATATATATGTGTGTGTGTGTTGTGCATTTACGTTGCAGGAAAATTTTGTGGAAACCACATGCATATATATATCTACCCTATGAGTTCTACTAGTGCGGGTTCAAGTAGATGCTATGCTTAGGTTGTTGGTAGCGTGAGTAACCTGCCGTTGTTCACAGTAGGTGATTATTATTACTTTCATAATAAAAATAATAAAGAAAAAAATAGAGATCGGGCAAGGATATGATATGGGTTGTTGGTGGGTGTAATAAGTTGTGTCTCGTGGCCACGGGGCTTAGCTTGGTTACACTGTTTTCCCTGTACGTGCCAATTGAGGACCGTCCGTTGTTGTGGATGGTTGTCGGGTCATAGACTTATTATTCTGAGCACATACTTGCTTATGGGAGCGGGAAGGCTCGTTGCGCTCTTGTCGTGGGTTCCAGCTCTTTTCGGAATGACTGATTGGAGGTGAGGAAATGTGGAGGTCTAAGCACCCTGTTGAGACCGGGTCTCAAGTGTAGGGCTTGGAGTCCAAGTTTGGACGGGGACCTGGACCCCTCGACAGGAGTGGAGTGGGTTGGTCTCGTTTGTGCCTGGGGTACAAGCGAGGCGTGTGTTTTGGGGTACTCAACTGGGATACACTGGTTCGTGAATCACCGTTTCTGTGAGATGGTATGACTTGGCTATGGTCTAGCACCGTAGTAAGAACTGGAATATGAAAGATGGTAAATTGGTTCTGATTGCTCAACCCTTGCTTGAAAATAGAACAGGTGTTTACCTAGAATGGTTAGCTAATGAAGAAATCATGACTGCTAATTAAACTTGATCTTAAGGACATACTTCTAGTAATGTTTTTCGCAAACAAAAAGAAAACAGAAAACCCATATTGCCTATCATACCCCTTGGAGTCAGGAAACTATTCCCACTAGTCGGGTAAGTCTTGCGAGTACATTGTGTACTCAGGGTTTATTTTACCCTGTTGCGGGTGTAGTTTGAGGAGTAGCTCTTATGTGGAGGATTCTTCTGGTGGGCACAGACGAATCCTTATATCGTTTCCGCTAGATGTTTATTTTCATTTCGTTGTTTAATTATCGCACTCTAAACACTGGTATTGTAATAAATAATTTCTAAGAACTCTTGTTGTATGAAATTGACTAAGTATTGTAAGCTCGGACTCATTATTGGATTCTGAAGGTAAAACATGGATTGATTCGAGTTCTCCCGTGGGGTGTGCTCGACAGAACTGTCCGATTTAGCTAACTTTCGAGGTGCTTAGTGTCTAGTGGAAGACGAGCGTCTCCGAAAACGTGTTATTTCGGACGGTTCTGCCACATCATCACCTTTAGTAACTCTTGTATGTTTCAGGCACAAGGAAAGGGTGCGAGCTCTCTTGAGAAATGGG